AAACTTTGGAATATTACTAATTTTGTAATGCTCCTTCACGCTGTGATGAAATTTTTGTCTAGACTTGTTTAGTTCAAAATGTGCAAATGGTCAAATTGCTGGGAATTTCAGATGCTTATGTATAAAAAACAAAGCAGCAAATGATATAAATTCCTCAAAATATAACTCTTGCATAAAAAAAAAATGAATACTTCTATAATATGTATAGTTTTTTCCTCTGCATGGTCAACATTTAATAAAATAGTGAATTAATATTATTTTCTATAGTTAATAGACTGAATATATCGGCGTGACACAATTTGCCGCGTGTTTCCTCTCTGTAGTATCTCTTCTCTGTGTCGCAGGGCAATAAAAATTGCGAAATCCCGTGGGCAATATGGGAAAATCCTGCCTCGTCAGCAGCCAATCAAATTGCGCGATTCATCACAACAAATGCTTGCCACATAATTAATAATATAAATTAACGCACACGGTTTCAAACGGCCGTTTAAATTTTATCAGCAGATGTTGTTAAGACGTTTCTATTCTCTAGTTAGTTTCTAGTTGAAATTTATGGTTGACATTCAAAACAGTTAAACGTGGGCAACTATGTCAAAAGAGGGGTACCGGTTGCTTAGCAATGGTTTTTTAAGTACGTTCGTGATGCGTTGTTCGGCGTGTTTGTGAGATTTTATGAGGAAAATATTATTTTTATTGTTGTTATTTTCATTTATTTCCCGAAATTAAAGTTTGTATGAAATAGTTAGGATCTTGATAACATATTTTTGGCGATCCTGTCAGGACATTGGAGTTTTATAATCGTGATCTTTCGTTCGTAGTATACTATTGGGCATTTGCAAGAAGTATTCGTATCGTTGCTGAATTTAGTTCGCAAGAGAGAGTGGGGAATAAGTGTAGATGATTGTCCCGTAGGAGAGTCTTGTATTGTTGTATACGGTTGCGTGTGGGTTTAATTCGTGTTAAGTCTGTTAAATATCGTAAAAGATCGGAAAATATCATCGGAGACATTGGTATTAATTAAAGCGAGTAATTTATGCACGTTTCGAAAATTCGGATATCGAATAAATTAACGAACTGATATTTACTAGTTATCGGATTTATACGAACGTTCAGCGTGTGGGAACTTGTGTTCGCTCGTTTTTCACTGGAATTGTTGATCTCTATTTGGACCAGGTGTTGTTTATCCTTTGGTACATTTTGACTTTAGAGTAAAAAATATATAGTATTAATTGGCATACTTTGTTGGTATCTGAAACTTTGTTGGTATCTGAAACTTTGTTGCTATCATGTCTACCACAGAACTGGATCCTAGTGAAACACCAGAGGAGCCTAAATCGGATGAAGAAGTTAGACAAAAGCAAGTTCTAAGAGTTAAACCGGCGAAAGCGAGCCAGTAAACGTAGTACAACGAGAGCGAGGCATTATCTTGAAACTTTAATCGTGGAACATCGTGTAGAGACATTGTGGCAAATACTGGAAGATACACAAGGTATCGTGGATGAAATGTCTGCATATTTCGTGGAACAAAAGGATTTCGAAAGCCAAAAGTTTGTGATGCAAGAGTCAAATGAGTTGGAGGCGGAATGTCAAAAGGTCATTTAATTGAAAAGACACAGGCTGTTATTGTTAATTGTGCGTCAGAAAGCTGTGTGGTGAGTCCACTCATACAGAGTACTGCCCCAAACAGGGGGGGGGGGGGTCAAGTAGCAACCGAAGTCATAGATAATCAAAGGGTTTCCACTTCCGTTATTGAGGACGGAGGTGAACCCAACGTACTTGATGACGTCACAAGCCTGGGCCCCAGACAGTGGCTCCTGTGACATCAGGGGATAATGATTCCCTACAACAACCGGTTAGTGCGCGCAACGGTTCCACCTCAACTGGGCACCCTAGTCCACAGCATTATGTTACAACAACAAGTAGTGGACATGGAGAAAGTGTCATTAACCATCGGCTGTTGTCATTAACCATCGGCTGTTGTCATTAAGGGTGCCGATCTTTGACGGAGACAAGAAAAAATTTGAAGAGTTTTGGGGGCTGTTCATAAGCCTAGTAGATATGTCGAATGAACCAACTAGTTTAAAGATGGCAAGACTCCGCCAAAGCTTAACTGGCATAGCCCTGGACTCAATCCGTTGGCTTGTTGTGTCAGGGCCTGAGTATAAAGAGGCCAATGAGATTTTAAATACAAAATTAGGGGGTCAGAGAAGGCAGCTTCGTGCATACCGGGATGATTTAGAACGAATGCACCTCCTTACGAGCAGCAGATGTCCAAGGTTTCGAAAGGTTCATAGATCTAGTAAGAGTGACAGTTGTTAAGTTACGGGCAGAAGAGAAAGAAGGAGAACTTGGTGATGGAACGCTGTACAGTTTGTTTGTCAAGAAGTTGACAGGACACCAGGTAGAATTATACACGATGGATGAATTAGCACAGCAAGGACAGACAGGTTTTATGTCTACGAGACATAAGGTGCATGACCACCTTAAATGGTGGTCATGCACCTTTCTGGCACTTTTTTCAATTTGCAACGCACAGACTTCACAAAACCATTTTTTGAAAGGGCACACCATAGAAATCAAAATCTGAAAAAATTTTCTGGTAACTCATTAATTATGCCAATTATCCAATATGGCCGCCAATTAATTAGCTGAAAAATGGCATTGCATGAAACATGATAGCACAAACACAATTTATCAGAATAACATGAATGATATATATTTGGAAAGCTTATAACCTAATCTAGTATCTGGCATTCTTTATTTTTACTTTGAACCATTTTTACAAAAAAATTGGTTTCAAATTGGCATATTAGGCAAAAAATGGATTTTTTTTTCATGCCTAATTAGGTAATTAAACCTTGATAATACCTTGCTAATCAAACCCATCAAAGATTGTCAGTCTCTAGAAGGTTATAAGCCATAGGTTTCAACCAAGTTTCGACTTTGTACATGAAATATTCATAGAATTATTCTACCACAAAGCTTACATCAAATACCAAATTCGTCGAAAGGAGAAAATACTATTTTAAAGTTTTGTTTTTTTGCTGGAAGATTTAGAAGCCACCTGCTTCATAGGTTGCACCTTCTTTGTCTTCAGCACTGTCAATATATTGTTTTCTAAGGTGCCTCTTTTTTTCCTTCTTTGCTTCACCTTTTCTGTGCTTTTTCTGGCAGACAGTTCAATTCTGGCTGTGTCGCAATCTTTGGCACCTTTACTGGTAAAGATTCCGGGAGTTATATTCAAGTCTGAAAATATTTTCAAAAATGAAATATCTCCCTCATTGATCACTTAGATTTTCCCGAACAGTCAAGCCATAATAATTTTGCAGAACATATATTTTACTATCAGTAAGTCTTCCTTTATCACCCAAGCCTTTGCCATCATCCAATTCGAGTCCTTTGTTGGAACTCTTAATTTTCCGTAACCTACTGCCAACTCTTTTTTGCACGTGGCCAATGCACTCCAACTTATTTGAAATACAGTCCTCACCACATGGTTTTTTCTCAACAATTGCACTGTATGTTGACGAGTCTCCATCTCCAAGCATGTCCTTATACTTGAGCCCTCTAGTAGTTACAGACCGTTCGAAGATACGTACAGCACCTATCGTCTCCATACTATTGTCACTCCCTGTGTGGTTGATTTTACAGTTATGAGAAGCTTTCCATTCATCATACTTAGGATCATTTCTCTTGTGTGCCCACTTTTGACATTGCTGGCACCTATCTGATAGAATTTCAGCATCGAGACACTTCTTAGTATCCAGTGAAATGATGGTAACAATGCCATTATGTGATATATGGCCTCTCTTCTGCCAGGTACCATCTATGGATACACAACATTCTCTATCTTCATTGGCATTCTCTTCTCTTACTTTAAAAGCATTGCTTACCATGCTGTCAGTAGTAGCCAACTGCTTGACCACAGACAAAACCTTCTTGTTTTGAATTTTGGTAAATGCCAGACGAGCAGGTGGAGCAGGCATATTCATAACCTTGTTAAATGTGGCCATGGCACTGTGTCCTCGACCTATTTCTCGAAAGGCCAGAACTGCTCTAACATTCACTTCCTGTGAATGTCCTTGCTTCTTTGAAGTGTTGAAAAAATGTTTCCACTCACAATCCATATTTTTACATTGCAAGACAACGTAATTTGAATACCCATTTCTTTTCTTCATACCAATGTGCGAAATGGTATCACCTCCACACTCAGGGCATTTCAATATGTCATCAAATACTCCAAATAGTACTGATAAGTCAATAAAAATTGTGCCTTCTTTTAATGTAGTGTCCTTATTGGGAAAAATACCAGCAAATGTTACAGGGTGTTTGTAACTTGGTCCGTCATGTTGGATTTTTTTGGACGTCTTTGACGGCGGAGTTCTCTTCGTTTTCTCGTTCTATTTTTGGAATTCCCAATTTATTTACCCTGTATTACAAGCAGGATTACAGGTAGAAGGTATTTCAACACTTAAAAGAAACGTTTCGGCTTATAAATCGAAAATATAGAGCACTTTTCTCGGTAGATTTTAGACAGCTTGTTGTGAGTTGACCTCGAGGTTGGGAACGAATGCGCGTTGCTATGGCTCCCAAAGTTGACCAATCATAAAGAAACTTGTTAAAAATGCTTCAAAAAACCATACACCAAAAGCTATTCTTTGTTAGTGACGTAATGGGGCAAATGTGAGGCAAAACGCGTTGCTATAAGGAGTAAATTTTAAAGTCCATCCTGTTTTAGTCCGTTTTTCTCATAAAATAAATATTTTTCACCGAAACAAGCTGTTATCTTAAAGTATAATACATAAAATACCTAACTGAGAAAAATTATTTTTTTTACAAAATCGCCATTTAAAGGTATATCATGACCACCTTAGGAAGAAGTCTTAATTAGAGTTGAAGCAATTGAGATGGACCATGGTATAGAATCCGAAAAGTCTGGCCAAAATAATCGAAAGCAATATCCAACTAAAGGTGGAAGGAGCAATCCAAGTTCTTTTTTCATGGCTTTGGGCAATCAACAAAATTCAGCGTTTAACGAAGGCAAAAGCCCAAAACAAAAACCTCCTTGTGCCTTCTGTAGTAAGCCGCATCATGGTATTTGGGCATATCGACAGTTTGAGCATAGATTGGTGGAACGATGGAATTTTGCCAAGGAGAAACAGCTGTGTTTTAGTCAATCATCGCCGTTTGCTGGAAAGAAGATCAAGGTTAACGCCATACTAGATGGCGCATTGGCTAACCTACTAGGTATTCAAGAAGCGTTTCAACTTGTTCAAGTTCACGTTTTGAACAATTCCGTGGAAACATTTCAGTCCATGCCTGAGAAGATTGAAATTGAAAGTGTCGATGGTGTCTTTGGCAAAGTCATCGAGGTAAAAACGTGTCCCCATCAAGTCACTGGAACTTATAAAGTTGAAGATTGGAATGAAACGAAGATGCAATGGCCTCATCTCTTACAATGCGAATTTGCAAGACCTGCGCAAAATGGCCTAGTGGACTTGCTAATCGGAGTGGACAATGCTGATCTGCATTATTCGAAGGTGGATGTGGATGGACAACCAAATAGCCCAATTTCTCGCTTTGGTCCTCTTGGATGGACCTGCATTGAACCAACCGGAAAACTAGATGGTAAAAGGTCTCATCTCACCATGCATTTCTTTTTAACAAGAGATACTCACGTCGACAAAGCAAACGTCATGTGACTTGTGATGTAAATAGCACATTGAGAAAGTTTTGGGAGATTAAAAGTCATGGAACCGAAACAAAACGATCAGCAGTAATGACCAAGGAAGAGAGGAATGCATTAGAGAAAGTGGAGTCGTCATTAACGCACAATGAATTCGCTATTCTACAGCTGTCCCGTGGAAAGAGGACTGTCTGACTCTTCCAACCAATCGGGAAATGGCAATGAAACGTCTGGAAGGCACCGAAAGTAGTTTGAATGCTCAAGATAACTTTGTTAAGAAAGAGTAGGAAGAAACAATAAAATCGTGCATTGAGAAAGGTTTTTTACGAATGATGACTCCAGAAAAAATGTCGTCTCCGTCATCTTGATATCTGCCACATTTTCCGATAGTCAAGTTAAACAAAACAACAACTAAAGCGCGCATAGTGTTCGATTGCTCGGCAAAGTACGAAGGCGTGTCGCGGAACGATGCCATCTATGCAGGTCCTAAGTTACAAACCGAACTGTTCGATGTCCTCGTGCGTTTTCGGCGAAATCCAATTGGGATTGTCTGCGACATAAGAGAGATGTATTTACGGAAAATCGAAATAGAAGAGAAAAATCGTCCGTACTTAATTAGAATCTTGCGGCGAGATTACGAGAGCGACCGAGAGCCTGATGAGTATGAATTTACACGAATCGTATTTGGGAAAAATTCGGCGCCTATGGAAGCGCAATATGTCGCCCAAGAAAATGCTCGTCGTTTCCAAGATCGTTATCCACTAGCAGCTTAAACTGTTCTGAAGTCTATGACAACATACATGGACGATAGTATCGATAGCGTCGTGGATGAAGCCAAGACCGAGACTCTTCAAACGGAACTGCAAGAGCTATGGAAGAATGCTGATATGGAAGCCAGGAAATGGGTCCCTTCAATTCTGTTGTTCTGTGTCATCGGCTTCGGTATTACTTAAGGTTACAGGACACCCTTTGTGGCGTTTTGCGTTAAATCGCTACTGCGCGCTCAATATCAGTCCGATTTTCATCAAATTTTCACCAAATGTTAGCCAGTGCATGCAAAATATGGTAACGTTGTAAAATTGACAAACACTAAAATAATGTAAGAATTATTCAGGAAAATCTTAAATCGCGGTACCTTTACCCTTTTGAGTTGTATTCCTGCTGGTTTTAAGATATATTTATGAAAATATCATTTTTATACAGTAAAATAGTTGTTCTAAAAAATTGTGTTCGGAAATATTTGTTTAGTTCGTCATTCCGCTGATATGGCGAATTCTTTGACGACTGCAATATATTTCTGAATCGTTTGAGTGAATTGCTCCTTATTATCAATATATCCAAAATTAGAACAAAGCCGAATACAATTTTGAAACTGACGTCTTTAGCTATGTCGTGTGAAAATTTGAGAAAAATTCGTTAAAACCTGCAGGAGAACAACTCGTTTGAAAATCAGTAATTGCCGTAAAATTTTTCGGGAGAGAATTTGAATATTACATTTTCAATGTTTTCCTTATTGCAGCGAAATGTATTTTATTAAATAACTCTGCGAGTTTTCAACATTTTTCGTTCAAACTTGGTCAGATAGTAGGACTATTCTAATGCTTTCATGGAAACCAATAAAACAATTTTAGGCAAAATTAACACTCAAAGGTGTTCTGTAACCTTAAGCCTCGACAATCTCTTTGTCTAAAAGTTTCAAGGCTTCGAGTTTCTCGCTCAGCGTGTCTTTCAGCTGTTTGAGCACATTCTTGTCCGTCTGAGGCGTTTCACTCGCATTCGCTAAACTTTCTTTTATCTTCGTTCCTATCTTTCTTTCGTAATCTATCCGGCTCGCTTGGACCAAGTGTTGCACTTTTCTGTCTTACACCACAAGACACTTGCGCATCGTGGGGACTGTATACTTTAAAAACAATACCATCGAAAATATATAGAACACACACGCGTACTTTAAAAAGTTGTTTTTTTGTAATTTAATTAATTCGCCCAATTTAATTACACAAATTTTGATTATTATATTTACATGTTTATTATCTAGGGCTAGGGGCCTACTAGAAACCATCAAAAGACTTTGATTAAGACCCCTAGTTACATTTTAAATTACAAAATAAGGATCCTATTTACAAACAAAACTAGGTCTAGGTGACAGTGCTTCAAGTGAGGTGCAATATGATAAAGTATTTACATACATGTATTGTGCTACAGTAAATAAAATGTTATGATCACAAAAGTATATTATTATTAATTCATATAAAATTTGATATTGCAGATGTTGTTTTTAATTGGCAGTAGTTTTTCAGTTATTCAGTATGTAGTATTTTTTCGATTTTTTCTTGAATATATAGTAAGATGCTATATTTTTAAAGTTTGGGTCAAGATTATTCCAGATATCAACTCCCTTGTTAGAGAGTGAATATTTAACATAGTTTGTTCTTTGATAAGGCTTATAAAGTTTCATAGAATTTCTTGTATTATGTCTATGAACTTCACTATTTGAAATATAGTAGTTCACAAAAAATTCAGGTAAGTTTTTTAAGTGATGATACCTGAACATGAACAAACTGGTAAGATAATCGTTTAGTTTGCTTAAGTTCAATATATTTAGGTGCTGAAATATGTTTTCAGTATGATCTAAGTGAGAGCTAAAAGTCATTAAACGTACAATCTTCTTTTGAACATTTATAAGTTTTTGAATTCGTTTTTTATATGTATTTCCCCAGAGTAAGTTGTCATAAATAAGATATGGATAGACCAAAGCATAGTAGATTAGTTTTAATGTATTTAGGTTTGTAGGCCTATAGTGGCGCAGTTTTGCTATTATTCCAGATGACTTCATAACTTTTTTCGTTACCGCTTCTGTGTGATCGTTCCAGGTTAAATATTCATCAATAACGACACCTAAGAATGTAGTGCTTCTAACTTGTGAAACCGATTGATTATTTACAGAGAGGTGCAATTCCTGTTTCTTTTTATTTGGAGATTTAAACACAATTAACTTTATTTTTGTTGTATTGATAGACAATTTGTTTAAATTTAGCCATTCAGCAATTTTATTCATTTCTATTTGAAGTGTTTCTTGAAGTATTTTAATGTTGGAATGACTATAAAGTACACTTGTATCATCGGCAAATAGAAGAATTGAAACAGTTTTAATACAGTTAACGTTTTGGATATCATTTATGTATAAAATAAAGAGTAGTGGTCCAAGTATCGAACCCTGTGGCACACCTGTGAGTATCGATTTTTCTGTAGATTGCACTGTGTTATATTTAACTATTTGTTTCCTATTTCTTAAATAACTTTCAAACCAACATTTTGCAATGCCTCGGATCCCATAATATTCTAGTTTCCCAATCAGAATCCTGTGATTGATAGTGTCAAAAGCTTTTGACAAATCAAGAAAAACACTAGCTGTGTATTTTCCTTCATCGATAGCCCTTGTTACTTTATTTATAAGTTCAATGATAGCATGTTCTGTTGACCTATTTTTTCTGAATCCATATTGATGCTTGGATAAAATATCATTTTCTTCAACAAAATCAATCAGTCTTTTGTACATTAATTTCTCTAATACCTTAGAAAAACATGTGAGAACTGATATTAGTCTGTAATTTTCAAATTTGTTATTTTCATTAGCTTTGAAAATAGGGGATACCAAAGCTATTTTCATTTGGTCAGGTACAATCCCCATAATAAATGTCTGGTTGTAAATATGAGTTAATGGTTTGGACATATACTTGTAAATATTTTTTCAGTAATATTTTGGCACTGCAGCCATCGAATCCTGGACTTTTGTTTGGATTTAGATTTTTTATCTCGTTTTCAACTTCATGCTCTTCTATAGGTCTTAAAAATATGGAATTTAGATTTTTGTTTGTAAGATATTGTTCATATGTGGAGTTTGATCTGGTTTTTATTTGTTTTGCAAGCTTGGGTCCTAGATTCACAAAATAATCATTGACTTTATTAGCAATTTCAATAGGGTTAGAAGTGGTACTTGACGAATTGCTCAATACAAATTCCTTTGGTAATTCCTTCTTTCGAGTAGGTTTATTAAGTAATTCATTAACTGTTTTCCAAATCATTTTTGTATTTTGTTTATGTTTAATAAATTGTTCCACGTAATACGTCTTTTTCGATATTTTTATAACATGATTTAGAACTATTCTTTCTTACAAACGATAAAATACATAACATAAACATACAAACCCAGATGATTACACAACCTCCTGGCGGAGGTAATAATCCTTCTGGTTCACCCTCGTCCGTTCAGGTTTCAATCTTAACTCGAAGTATATATGCTATTCATGACATATGATATACTTTACGTCAATCGACTAAAATCAACCATTGTTTGTTGCCCTACGGCGTTATCAATAGTATAATGTTACAAATAGCCACACGTTGTATAATGTGATATAACAAAGCCAGGAAAACTTTGCTGGTGGACGGTTCGCTATAAACGTAAGTTAAAACTACAATTGTCTCCAACATTTTTATGTATATTATTAATACGTAATAGGATGGTTTACGTAATGGGATACGTAAATGGAAGGATCAGCACTCGAGAGTTTTTCAAAGACCTCAAATAGCACTTGTCCTCGGACTAGTCGTGCCAGGGTTTATTTTAAGAAAAATTTAGAACTGCATATATAGGGATGCTACGAAGGCAACGGATGTTTGACTGGGGGGGGTCGAAGGATTTTTTACCTGCGTGACAGAATAATGGTGTGGTTGGGTGGGAGAGAGGCCAGACAAACTCGATTTTGGGTGCGAGAGCTAGGGGTGTTTCTCACTGAACAATTTGAATTTAGAGGCTCTTAAGTTCTGGCAAAGATTTGTTTGATCCAACCACTCACAAAAACTGTTTCAAAACATGTAACTGGGATATTCAATAAATTACAACCTTAAATTTGCATTTGAGGCAGCAAAGAATATAATGTTCTCCCGCTCTAATCTCTTTTGGGGAGCTTCGCTCACCCCAATGTTATCCATTTGTTTCCATTACCTCAGCACGTAAGTGACTTGTGAGGAAAATAGGAGGGTCTGGAAGTCCTCCCCCAGAAAACGTTTATATTTCTAATGCTCATAATGACATCATTTCTGGAATTTTCTGGAGCATCCACAAGGGTAACTAGTAAATGAGAAGACTGTTTTAATTAAGGCTATTTTTGTTAGTTTGGTGACTGCATATTTGTGTTTTAAGAACTGCACAAATGGGTTTAGAACTGCACATGCATTTTGTGTAGAACTGCACATTAACCCTGACTCGTGCTATTTTGATGCCCTTTGAAAAACTCACTCGTGCATGTTTTATCCAAATTTTATTTATTTATTTGTTTTTATTTATTTACTAATTCGCCCAAATCACATCATATAAATAAAAAATAGAAGTATTTACAATAGTAGGGCTAGGAACGTTCTCGAAACCATAAGGCTTTTTAATAAAGGTTCCTATAGTTACAATTTTAAATTAAATTTTATAATAGATTACCAGTTCAAATATTTTTAGATAAAATAAAGTAATATATGTACAGTAGGCTATATAATATTATATAGAAATAAGGAAAGTGTAAGATAGATATTAGGTTATATTACAACAATTTAATTCTTCTTCAAGTGCCAAGAATTCTTTTTGTTCGGTTAAGAATGAAGAAAATACTTTTTCATTGTCGTTTTGAATATTGGAAAAGATCTAATTGCTTTATATCAGTGCAAAAGAAGATTATTCCACATATTGATTCCTTTGTTAGCGAGTGTGTTTATTATAATTTGTTCTATTATATTGAAGCAAAGATGCATTTCTTTTGTTATAATTATGGATATCTTTGTTAGTCATAAAATAATTGGTAAAAATTTCTGGAAGATTATGCAGATGAAAATATCGGAAGTAAATAAACTTGTTAAGTATTCATTTAATTTGTATACAAGTTTAGTATTTTTCAATCATTAAAAATTGGCTCAGTATGGTCAGAATATGATTTGAAAGTCATTAATCTTACTATCTTTTTTGAATATTTACCGTAATTTTTGAATGTGCATGAGATTTGTAGGCATTACCTCAAACACTGGAAAAAAATTGAAAATCCGCCATAGAAGGTCATAGAATGGAAATTGTATGGACCTTTATTGGAAATAGAATGGATTTTGGTTATCCATAATAATTGTATAGTTTCCATAGTATGGATATAGTATGGAAATAGGATGGATATACTATGGATTTAGTGGTGCAATTGCAAATTTCGTAGTATGGATTTCACTTTTTTTTTCAGTGAAATCAGGTTGCCATAAGTAAGATATGGATAGACTAATGCAAAATAGATCAGTTTTAGGGAATTTAGGTTTGTAAAATGTCAAGTCCTGGAAATAATAGCTGCACATTTGATAATTTTCTTGGAGATCAGAAAATTAAATTGCACTCGAAACCATCCTATTACCAATACTAATATATGTATTTTTATAAAAGTGTAGCAGTAATATGTATAACACGCAATTTGATTGGTCAACAGCCGTGCAGGATCAGACAATCCTGCACGGGAAATTCTGAACAGAAATTCGTGCACATAATTTTACAAATATGCTCGCATTGTAAAGTTTCATTGTCAGTACGATACCTTTCGAGTTAGTAAGTTTGCAATTATTGAGACGTTGGTTTAGTTGCATGAATAAATTTCTGATCGATACATTGCTGTTCAGCGTTTATTTCAAATTTCGTATATTTTATCGAAAATGTCTCTGTATTTTCGCTGTATATTTTCGCGAATTTGCGATAAAATTCTGTTCACATTTGTTGTTGTTTTCAATAGCGTGGAGTAGCGATTCTCCGATAGATTAATTCACGATTGTTGTGAGGCTGCACATTTCATCAGTAATTTTAATCAAGTTAACCGTCGTTTCACTGTAGTAATTTTATAAAACAATTACCAAATGGTTTTCCCGTGCAGGATAGGATGATCCATGCACTTGGGATGTTGCTCGACTTTCAGAAAGCGTAAAAATACACTCGCCTGCGGCTCGTGTATTTTCACGCTTTCCGCAAGTCTCGCAACATCCCGCGTGCATGGATCACGCTATCCTGCACGGAAAACCATTCGGTATTCCTTTAGTAACACATGCATGGATATTGAAATAATATAGTAATATATACTATATCTACAGTAACATGTGCAGTAACATGTATAGTAACATGTGGTAGCTAATTTGTTAATTCTGTGATAGAAAACGATTAATGACTGATACTATATAGTAAAGTTTAATATCAGGAATAAGGTCTTGTAATGACCATTTTGTTCAACGCCATATGAGAGTGGAAGTCGTCATCTGCATGATTTTTGAGGAAACACGCCCAGTACGTGCTGTGGTCTATTAAAATTCACTTCGTTCTGAAGTGAAGACTTCACATACGGCGGCAGCGAATGATTCCCTAGTTGGGAATTTATTCAAATCAGCTTGGCAGTAAGTTATGAGGTAGCTTTTCCGTGGCTTAACACAATTTATTTTGAATCTCTAATTTCAACCATGATCAACCATAATGTTATTTATCACGGAAAAATATTCCCTCCTCCAATGAATTTGTTGTTCTAATTTCAATATTAAGTTTTAGATAATGTCAACGTCAACATTAATAGAAAAGCTAACGCTCGGATGTGAACGGTGGTAAAAACGAGTTTATTAATATATATTATGTGATATGAGAGGTCAAACGCTTACAAAACCTATACCAAAGTTTATAAAAATTATATAAACTCAAACATAAACGTTTTTATCTGTTTAGAAGAGTTCGCCTTGAAGAAAGCAGCGCCCGAATAAGATGTAAGTTTAAGTATTCAGTTGTCATGATTATCTGTTTATAATACTTTGAAAACATTGAAACCTTCATGCATATTCATGACATGTCGTATAGCCTTCGCCTTGAAGTTTCTGTGATGATTTACATTTAAGAGCAGATGTCCACTAAAATGGAGCAAAATGGAGAATTCGCGGACACATTCAAAATTTCGATTTTGCTCATTTTTGGTTTGCTGGAAGGTATTAGCAAGTAAACAAACGTGATATGGTTTGTTTTTCAAAAACCGTTAAAATTCTGAGAAATCCGAGAAAAACCGTTCGGCTGTCGGCGACCTCAAAAAGATGCAAATTTTCAGTTGAATCAAACAGGTTCAAAAACAAGTAACGCACGCAAAGTAGGAAGAGGATGTGAAAACCATACGTTTGTAAGTCGATAGAAGAGATGTTTGAGACTTGATTTGGCATAAAATAATAATTTTAGCTATTAATTAAAACCTGACAGCTGATATTTAGAATCGTATGGTATTCACAAATAGCGAAAATTACGATGTACCGTTGCCACGCAAAAAACATTTTTTAACTAAGTGCCCCAGATTTTTTCCTCACGAAACTTACGTCATTAACTAATTATATGTTCTTCTAGAACATATAAAAAAATTAGTTTGGGTTATTGTATTTAGAGTTCGTACGGCGGCCGTGAATATTCGGTATTTTCGACATATAGCGTGACTGAAATCGACAAGTGTTTGTTCCTTCCGGTCGCTATTTTCTCATTCGTTTATATTTTCATTCGGAATTTAAACCCGAAAATGCCGTTAAAAATAAAAAGGCACCCTTTATTAGCAACTCACAGCGTTTTAGCAGTTACAGCATTTTTAGGAAGTGTCTCTAAAGAAGCTAACATCAGGTGAAGCAAGTAGAACTGACACGATTGGCGATCGCGCGCCACCGTACTGTACGATTAAATTTACTCTCCTGATAGAACAATCACAATATTTTTGGTTCTGTTTATATCTCGCAAAATTGGTGCAGTTTTTAAAATTAGGAATATTTGCGTGCGAATCCATTAACACTATTTTTATTGCTGCCAATCAAAGTAAATAAAGTACATTTGTTTGGCAGTGTTTTGCCCGATTTCCCTGTCGTGACTGTTGTCTCTATCATCTCGTTTCTAGTAACAATGGAAATAGTGGTAAAGAAATATTTGATAGAATCACAGGAATTATGCATTTCTCGTTTTCTGCCTGTTTCCACCCTGCTCCAAAAGTAGATCGATGTGCAGGATATATTACGTATTAATAAGTTCTTTGTATGTTTGCATGGCGAAAAATATAATAGTTTTGTTTGTGGAAACACCACATAAATTTATTACCAGTGTGACCATATTCAGTATATTTTTTACTTTTGGTAAAATTTCGACAATTTTGATAGAAATTTGGTAAAAAAGAGATTTTTTAGTAAAATTTTGGTAAAATTTCTTAAAATTCTAGATTTGGTAACTTTTTTGGTAAAATTCTGTTAAAACGTTTGATGATGACCAGAAAACCCTGCAAAGTACATGCCTTCCTGATGCTGTGGCAATGGCTCGGAGCTTGTGTTCTGTTTGCTCATTGCATGCTTCAGGTACGTCATTTAATTTGTCGCCTCTTTTGAACGAATAACATGAAGTAGCGCGCGCAGCTAAAAATTGGGCATTTGAAGAATTTCATTTCGAAATTGCAAACTTACATTTAAAAATATGGATTTAATGGATAGTATCGAATACTGTCCATTAACCCCCCCCCCCAGGAGTGGGATGGGTAAAATCCAAATCTGGTAAAATTTTGGCCTATTTAGTAGAATGTTAGCAAAGGTTTAGTAAAATCCGCTGACAAACATCTGGCCACACTGTTTATTACTGCAAAGCTTTCGATCCGTAAGCCCGGATCTTCATCAGTGCTAATAATATGTGCAATATATAAATTTACGTGGTGTTTCCACAAACAAAACTATTATATTACGAATTGCTCAATGTTTTCCGATTTATTCCCTGTAATATCAATGATTACAACTTAACAACTGAACGCACTCTGATGATTTGTTTTTAACTCTAGTATCATGGCCACAATGACCACCAACTATTGCGAAAAAGGAGCACTTTATATCCATGACGGCCAGACCACAGAATAAGGCACACAGAAGGGCACCCTGGCCGCCATCTTCCTAGCCAGTCGATTCCATTTTCTGGCCAATAAACGCGCTGTATTGGCTGAAGGGCGAAGGCCCCGCCATCTGGCCAGTCAACTGCATATTTTTGCATAGAAAAATGGCGACACGTTCCACCGCTGAGTGGCCCTTCTGGTACTGATCTTTATTCTGTGGCCAGACCTTGGCAAAATCTATTTTTAGACATGCAGTATCAAACTTTCCAGATACGAAATTTACACGTTAATTACATCGCCCGATCGCTGTCTCAAGACAAACCGGCGCTCTTACCTGATAGTTTACTTTTCACCACAAAAGTGTTTAGGATTTCAAGCTGCAATATAGCACTTTTCACCACAAAAGTGTTTAGAATTTCAAGCCGCAATATAGCAAAAACAAACCCAACAAACTGAAATATGTAATGAGAAAAAGGCCATAAAACTGAGCAGAAAGTTTCAGTTTTAACCACCTCTGAATTTTATTACAATTTCTCTGTCTCTGTCCTCTGAGCATGTTCAGCCAAACCACATGCAAACTAACAATTAAAAAAAAACTGAAAATAATTTTGAAGTTATCCTTCTTTTATAGCTTAGTGAAGATGTGCTAAGTTTTGTCTTTAGTTAAAGTAAGGGGCCGATTACGTGGAGGTTTTCAGCCCGGGATGAAATTTCAGCCTGGCAAACAGGGATGAAATTTCAGCCCGGGGCCCCTATAAATTCAATATAATATGAATTTTACGATTATATGGAAAAAAATTCGAAATGTAAACGAAATGCAAAATAAAGCCACTTAAACGATTGTTTTTTATACATGGGATATTTCATCCCGATTGACAGGGCTGAAATTCAGGCCGGGGTGAAATTTTCATCCCGGTTTATGTCACCCAGGATGAGATTTTCAGCCCTGTCAGCCGGGATGAAATATCCCATGTAAATGCAAATAATTTCAGCCCAGGGTAAAAAAACAATCGTTTAAATGGCTTTATTTTGCATTTCGTCTTATCTTTCATACTTTATATGCAACCACAGTCTTACACAAGTCAAATAGTCGACTAATCGGCGTTTTAAATGCTCAAACAAGCGGAATATTGCCTTTCGTGATATCGTATGATTTCAGGCCGGGATGACATTTCATCATCCCGGGTTTGTTTTAATACTATACAAGGAATAAATGTTGCTCTGACTAATACTCAGCCCAGGTTCAAACTGCCCATGTAATCGTGATGCTATTTCGGCTCGGTTTACCGGGCTGAAATTCAGCCCAGGCTGAAAACTCTCCATGTAATCGGTATAAGGGACCGCTCATTATTTATTGTACAGGGGGGACTGAGGAGAAACTCTACAGTTATAATATTTTTTCGTTGCCCCCCTCTTAAGACAAGTAAAATTTTCAAAGCCCCCCCCCCAACAAGCAAAACAAGAACATAAGTTTTGCCCCCCCCCCTCTAGCTCTTTATCTTTATTTGGAGAAACAAAAACTCTAGCTGTTTATTTTAAAGAAAGAAAAATAGGTAATTGAGGTAAGCGTGGAGAGGTGCGCACCTCCCCAGAGATCGTTTTGCACCTCCCCTGAGAATTTTTCCACCTCTCTTGAAAGGTCATGCACTTCCTCTTGGGAAAGTTTCAATGATGGAACAAAGTGAAAATGTGATGGTTGCTTAGGATCTACACTTTGTGACGTAAGAAAGTTTTCTCTGTAAAATTGAAACAGTGATAGCCATGTCAAGCACCCTTTTAATGCAATGTTTTGAAAGAAACAGTGTAGCAATTGTAATGAAGGGCAAGATTGGAGTCATACATTCATAATTAATTAATACACTGGTACATATTATGTACACTACATGCATACCTCACCTCGTTGATATTGGCCTGTTCTACAATAAGCCCTAACTTTCCATGGGAGTTGTGAGCTAGACCGCTGCACCTCTCCTAAAATTTTTGTCCACCTCCCCCACTATTTTCACCAAAATCCGGCCTTGATTTGCATCTCTTTGCCTAGTTCTAAAATTAGTCTATAATGGAATTGTGAGTTCGGCTATATTGCGAGTCTGCGAGTCTGCGAGTTGCGAGTCTGCGAGTTGCGAGTCTGCGAGTTGCGAGTCTGCGAGTTGCGAGTCTGCGAGTTGCGAGTCTGCGAGTTGCGAGTCTGCGAGTTTACGGTGTGGATTTATTGCCTCGAAAACGCTCACTTAAGTGTAATTTTGTGTGCTTTGACGAATTGATCTTATATTTTATACTTTGACAGACAGACTCGTTTCGCTTTTTCGAATTTCTCAAATTTTGGCGGGAAAATGACGTCATCGTTTTGGCGCCAATATTTTGTTTAAGTGTTAAGACTTCCTTTGTTAATTTTTCTAAAATAAGAGGCTATATTATCTTCTAAACCGAAACAATAATTGAATTATCTTAATTCAATCAAGAGTTATAGAGGATGGAATTTTCAGATTTGGGCTATTTTGGGCTATTTTTAGTAACAAAATGGCCGAAATCTGAACGTTCCATCCGTTATAACTCTTGATCGAATAAAGATAATTCGATTATATTTTCGGTTTTGAAGTTTACACAACATATAACTTTTGAAAAATTAACTAAGGAAGTCTTAACACTTAAACAAAATATTGGCGCCAAAAGGAAGACGTCATTTTCCCGCCAAAATTTAAAAATAATATTGGCGCCAAAAGGAAGACGTCATTTTCCCGCCAAAATTTAAAAATAATATTGGCGCCAAAAGGAAGACGTCATTTTCCCGCCAAAATTTAAAAATTCGAAAAAGTGAAACGACAGCATTTCTTAGAATGAAAAGATCTGTCAAAGTATAAAATATAAGACCAGTCTGTCACAAAACATACAAAATTACACTTAAGTGAGCGTTTTCGACGCAATAAATCCCCACCGTAAACTCGCAGACTCGCAACTCGCAGACTCGCAACTCGCATATTAGACAAACTCGGGAATTGTCTATTTACATGAACACGAGAGACTTTTTATTTGACTTCCATTTATGAATATTAAAGTCTATAAATATTGTTATTTGTTGTTAAGTTGTTTTGTGATACATTTTTAAAATTACTGTTTTTTCAAACTGGTAAATATTTTCAAAGCCCCCCTTCTTTCGTCTCTCTGTATTTTTTCAAAGCCCCCCCCCCCTTTTAGGTTTTGAAAAATTTAAAGCCCCCCCCCAGTTTCTCCTCAATCCCCCCCTGTACAATAAATAATGAGCGGTCCCTAAAATGTACAGAAATTATCTCGGTCACAGCACTATCTACTTAGTCTTATTGCTGTGACTGCTAAAACCATGTAAATTGCTAATAATGGCCATTTTTAAGGAAATGTATTTTCGGGTTTAATTCCCGATGAAAATAACAACTATTAAAAATGAGAAAATAGCGACCGGAACTTCTGGAAGGAACAAAACATTTGTCGATTTCTGTCACGCTATATGCGAAAATACCCAATATTCACGGCCTCCGTACGAACTCTAAATACACTAACTCAAACTAATTTTTTTATATGTTCTAGAAGAACATTTGATTAGTTAATGGCGTACGTTTCGTGTAGAAAAAATCTGGGGCACTTAGTTGAAATGGTTTTGGCGTGGCAACGGTAGATTGTAATTTTAGCTATGTGTGAATACCATACGATTCTAAATATCAGCTGTCTGGTTTTAATTAATAGTTAATATCATGATTTTATACTCAATCGAGTCTCAAACATCTCTTCCATCGATTTACAAACGTACAGTTTTCAAATGTTTTCCAATTCTGCATGCGTTAGTTGTTTTTTAACCTGTTCGATTCAATTGAAAATTTGCATATTTTTTAGGCCGCCGACAGTTGAATCGTTTTTCTCGGATTTCTCAGAATTTTAGCGGTTTTTTGAAAAACAAACTACATCACGTTTGTTTACTTGGTAATTGCCTTCCTGCAAACCAAAAATGAGCAAAATCGAAACTTTGAGCGTGACCGGATGATGCTCGATATTAGTGGACCTTCGCTCTTAAATCTGCGCTCAAATTATACTTGAAATTTAGACAATCATGCATGGAAATAATTAATATACGTAGACTTCTTATAAAAAAGCATACTAATTATTTATTTAATGAATTTATTGAGCAATCTACATATGTACTATAGCAGGTGCAAACTACAAAGGTGGGTACCTAACAAACGAAAGACAAAAACACACGTCACAAATCACAAATTAGCAGTTACACTCAAACGGAAAAGCACAAACGGGACACTAACAGTCCCATGCGAGGTGCTCCCCGTAATTAGTTTAGATATAGTTAATTAAATATACACACACATATATATTACTTGTGGTATTAAGTCCTATGGCAAGGACAGTCACGAGTTAATGACCACGTACAAGCCATGTCTACGTCATAAACATTACTAATTAATGTATAGTATCTACGTGTAAGATGGTGTTTAAACGAGTTTGGATTACGGAAAATGTCAGGTGAGACTTCTTGGCACACCGTGTTCCAAATCTTTACAACACGATTGTAGTATGAAGACTGGAAAGTGTTAGTTTTACAGAGTTTACTTTGGAGGATATACTATTGTTGGAGGCCAGTTGTTAAAGATGTTGATATCCACTGCCAAAATAGCCCCCGTCCCCCTAAACACAATAGGGAGCTTAAGCATGTATGACGGAAACACGACGACGACGCAAATTTTTTTTCCGTGGACAGTCGGACTCCTCATTGATAGTCGGACGCATCATTGACCCGCGCCCTTAAACAAAACATTCAGCGGATACTCTTCTTATTAGATGCGCCTTCACAGTGTGTCTTGCGCACGCAATCGGTGATTTCAAAATGTTCTATTGCTTGGTTGAGATGTCTAAATCTGAGCAGGACAGATTGTGGCTTCATATCTTGTGTGGTGATGACATCTGACATATTTTATTAAGTTATATTTGCCATTCCCATGTGCTTTTCTTTGCTTTGTTGACTCTTTTCGTTGCTTCTGTAACTCTTTATAAGTTTCATTGTTTTCGATTCCATAATTTAAAAAAAACATTGCCATATCTTCCGGAGCGATTGCAGAATACCCGTCCACTTTTAAGCTATGCTTTTCAGACATCATGGATACGATGTATTAATACATCTATATTTATTCTCAATAGATTAATAAATAGATTGATAGATTAAAATCCCATGGTGGTAAAGGTAGCTACGAAGCATACAGTGACTTAACGTTAATACATTAAATTGTCATATTAAAGGTAGCTCTATATTCTAGTGGATACGCGGACATGCAGTCAACTAGTTATTTTGAGAACGAGGCATACAGTTAGATTGAGCATTAGATCAAATTCTCATGCTATAGGTAGCTCTATATTTTAGTGGATACGCGGATACGCAGTCAAGTAGTTATTTGGAGATTAAGGTGACATTTAGTTACCATTAATAAATTAAATTCTCATGCTATAGAGAGCTTAAATGTGCTGTAATATGTAAATATGTTCCTCATGCACAACCGGACATTGGTGTTTGACAGATTACTGATTAATTAGCGTCGCTGGGAGAAAAAAAAATTATATTATAAAGCATACTAAGCATAATATTAAACATTAAAAGTCTTGCGCATGATATTTCTTTATAGTATCAATTCGTAATATTGTTTTAGTAATTAGTTTGTTTATATTAGAACGAGGCAATAAGATCTGGTATATACGTATCCAGGGAAATAGTGGCCGGGCTACATGACACGATATTACTAGTGGACGGGTATTCTGCAATACTCCTATTTGGGGAAAGTGGTCCCAATGGTCGCTTTGAATCTTCCAGTATTTCCTTGCACGCTATTTATCTTATCCCAATTCTCTTCAATTAGGATCATATATAGTTTTAACTCGCAATAACAGTTCTTGAGTATTTTCGCAACCAGAAAAACAAGTTTGTAGATTTACTATGGCATCGCGAAGCAAATCGTTCATCTTTCTACAAGTGGTCGAAGAAGAGCAACGTGGAGTGATGGATACATGGTGCACCAGTGGGTTACGCACGGTACGAAGGGATCCATCGATAACGCGCCAAGGACTGGACGCGAGGATCAATGATGCGTCCGACTATCAATGAGGAGTCCGACTGTCTACGGAAAAAAAAATTTGCGACGACGACGGCCAAAACAAATTCCTTCAAATAAATGATAGTAAAGAAAACTTGTCGTATAAGAAGCTGAAAACACATGCTTTATGTTTGGGAAGAGTTCTACTGACCGAATTTTAAGTTGCGCCTTGAAATGCAGGCGTTGTATAAAAGACGTGAAAGTCTGTGATTTGCCGTTGTAAACAGAGCGACGACTACGCCTGAAACTCCCCTGGGACTTTAATTATTTATTCACTTTTCATTGACTCCTTGTATTGGTTGCCGTCGTCGTCTTGTTGCCGTCCTACATGCTTAAGCTCCCTATTGTTGACCCCAGCCAACGGCGCGGAGCGCCGTTCCAGGCGTAAGGCCGGGACGAGGGTACTAATTCCCCCCGGCTATTTCCACCCGGGGGAACGAAAGCATTAGCGAAGTCTAAAAAGTTCATCAATGATCGCGGGTGTGGGTGACCAATGGTGGGTGGTCATCCTCACTGATCTCAAAAATATGGCGGACTGTCATGAATAGCGAACACTGATTGGTCAAATTTATATTTTGCATTATAACGACTTCATGACGACAGCGAAATAGCAAACATTTCTTGATTTGATGATTTCTTGCAAATATATTTCATTTTTGCAAGATTTTGTGAATTTCAAAAGCTTTTTAAGAAAAAAGGGCGAAAGAATCGGCTAAAAGAAGGGAGCAAAAGCCTCCTTAATTTAATATATTTACACTGGCTTTTAAAGGTAAGCCAATCCTGAGAAAATTATAAAGCCAATGGATTTTCCCTCTTGTGTCTTGGATTTCGTTTCTTTATTTGAATGACCATCGCAGGGGGCATATTTGGCCAGTTCTTGTCATCAGACTACAATGCAATAAGTATAAAATTATGAATAAGCACACGTGCATGTATACGTGCATGCATGCAAGGGCGGATTGAGCGGTCCGACATTTGGACGCGCCCGAGGCGCTTGAAGAAGAAGTTTGGAGGAGAGATATAAGCAATTTCTTTTTCCTGAAAAGTCACCTGGATTCTGAGTACAAGCTAGCTAGTCAATTTGACAGCGAAAAAAAGTTAATTTAATTTGTCACGAAAAAATCGACTTGGCGGCGTGTCGTCATAAAAATTTTCTAAAGGAAAGGCACACAACGCTTGGTGTCAGGGCCGGAGCTACGGGGATTCAGCAGGATATAATCATTATAATCCGTTAGTAAAACAATCCCAGATTGACAGTTAAACCATATAGCGATACAAAAGATCTTAAATTAAGTATATGTAGCATGTTTGATAGGTAGAACCGCTGAAAACAATATATTCCCGCCAAAAACTTGATTATCAAATATGACCGCGCAGCAGGGAGGAGCCCCCCAATAATTTTCCATACACATGTGATTTTTTATAAACTAAAAATACTGAAATCTTTCAGATCAGTTAACAATATATTTATAACTTACATAGCCAAGTATATTAGATTAAGGAGGTTCCCTACAGTTTCCAATATATGTCAGTGTTTTAAACTAAAACCTATTTAATTAATTTGAATTTTAAAAAAAAACTAATTTTTTGCACAAGCCATTGTTTCCTGAATTTCAGCTTTTCCAAAAGCTAAAATACAGTCTGTAAAGGCTGAAATTTATTATCGCGAAAACTACAATGGCGATTTTCAAATAACTTTCAAAAAAGATTCAAAACTTCATAACAATGTATTTTCTGCAATAAAAAAGGTAAGTCACCGTGCTTATTTGTCCGCTAAGACGGCTTTTTTGGTTGATATAAGCCATATAGATGGTGACGTCATGTCGTCATGGTAACGTGAAGAGTAGCGATTGTGGGTTAAAATTATTCTTTTACATAAAAGGAAACAATGGCTTGTGCAAAAAATTAGTATTTTTAGATTCAAATTAATTAAATAGGTTTTAGTTTAAAACACTAACATATATTGGAAACTGTAGGGAGCCTCCTTAATAGTCGTCTATTAAAGAAACTTTTTAACAGCAACTAGTAAATTTGATTGCATTTCAGGGGCTCTGGGAAGTCTCAGATTTAAAAATTTCCCGGAGGAGCATGCCCCCCGGACCTCCCAAACAAACTCACGCCTTCGGCGTTCGCTATAGACCCCTTAATCCAAAAAGTAGCTCCGCGGTCCCTGAATTTAGTTGACCTCTATCGGAAATTCTACAAGCTTCCATGGCTAGCATGTGGTCGGTACAAGCTCGTTCGTCAGCCGGTTGAAATGACTTTACACCCCCCCTGAATAATTTCCTGAGGACGGCCCTGCTTGGTGTGAAAGATTATCGTCGAAACTTATGTTAGCTGAGATAAGGTTAAAGACAGGAAAATCCATGTAGAATAGTTAATGATAATAGCATGGTTTCAAGTGCAATTTGGACATAACATGCCCGAGTGAATTTTTCAAAGACCTCAATAGTTAATGATAATAGCATGGTTTCAAGTGCAATTTGGACATAACATGCACGAGTGAATTTTTCAAAGACCTCAAAATAACACGAGTCCGAAGGACGAGTGCTATTTGAGGTTTTTGAAAAACTCACGAGTGCATGTTTATCCAAATATCCCAAGAAACCATGCTATTACTTATTAATAATTTTAATTACATAAAAATGTTCGAGACAATTGTAGTTTTAACTTACGCGTTTATAGCGAACATTCCACTGGCAAAATTTTCCTAGCTTTGTTATGTCACATTATACAACGATAACAGCTTGAAAATTCCACTCAATGATTTAAGTTTTGTTAGTCTTGTTTAAAGTGAAGGCTTTTCCATTTAAAAATAAAGATAAAAGCCATATTTTCCAATCGAAGTCAACTTTTACTTTATGTAGCACGGCGCCATGTAAACCTCGTTCCCAGGCTGTTCGCTCTTGGCGCCATGTTTGTTTTGTTTTGAAGCAATCTGTGACCGCTAAAATGCTTTAAACTGATTGGTTGATTTTATCATCACAATGTTTTTCCACCAATCAGATCAGTTTGTTACAGATTTTTGCACTGTGATTACAGAAAATTGCACTGTGATTACAAAAAATTGCACTGTGATTACAGAAAATTGCACTGCTGTTTGGGATTAACTGCACTGAAATCAACCAATCACAGTCGAGTAATATTTTTTATGTATATTACTACTGCTATAATGCTATTGAAAAGCACATTGTGCTTCAGCTACAGAACAATAAAGAACAGATTATTGACAAGTTTGCTAGAACTATGACTTCTAAAGAACTGCATGAGCTCTTTACTTTTAATATAAACTTTCTAAAACTATAGTGGTCGAACGCCGACGTGTGTGATTCGATCATTAACTGCAATTTGTTTTAAAAAAGAACTGAGAGTCACAGATGTTGTTTTCGGGGAGTCACAGATGTTGTTTTCGAATTAAACTAGTTCAAATGCAAATTAGCAGCCATTTTGAAACGTCATTGTTGCCATAGTAACCACAGTTATCGACTTATCCGTTACAGTTTCTGATTATCAAAATACTGTTCTATACAAGACACCTGGTTTCATTCTTCTATAAAAATATCAATGTACAAAATTTTTTGGCCAGAAATGTGTCTTTTCCACTTTTCAAGAAACTGTATGGAGCTACCTTATGTCGGAATTTTATTCCAGCTGACTGAGGCCCAAAGAGCTGTCAGGGTGTATGGTAAATACTACCCTGTTTCTATGGTGATATCATGGTCTTCACTTTGCACTTGTGCCACGTCAGTGATTTGATGTTATGCTTAACTTACTTTTAATTAGGAATCGGTTTCAAGTTTCAAATCTTTTTGAAGTTGGGAAAAGCATAAACGAGGGTGAAAAGATGGGGAAAATAAATTTAAAAGCAAGAAATCTGTAAGATAATATTCGTAAATGCAAGAAATATGTTAGGTTTCCAAAAATGTTAACCCCTTTGACACCTCGCCCCTCCCCCGTCGACAAGAAATTTGGGGATTTTGCACTGAAAATGTTATTCCCTCCCATACGCCTATATCAGTAAATCACACAGGAGTAATATGTATTCTTGAATCTGTGGTGCAATATTGTAGAATTCGCTATTGCCAAGTTAAAGTGGAAGTCAAGTCCGTAATGTAAACAAACGGTTTGTTTACATTTTGAACTGCTGTATTTTTTCAAATGATGTACTGTCTGAATATCTAACACTATTTTGGTTCGCTATGCTTCTAAATGCATATGAAATAGAGTTTATGTTCAGAAAAATTCAAAACATTCGAAATTTGGGCAATTTTCACATTAGAGGTCCTCACATTGTTATGAGCAGAAAGGATGCGCAGAACGGACTTGACTTCCACTTTAAGCATTGCATGTTAGATCACATACAGAGATCAGATAATAGATTCGGAACAGTAATTTTCATTGGCTCCATAGGCCGTGGGCCAAAATTATTTTGCTTCGTGGCACCCATGTGGGAAATACGCGCCGCATGGATGGCTGCATTTTTATACCTCTCCTAAATTTTATATATTTGATGTTTTAAAATGTTGTTTGAAGTTAACCATCGACTTGTAAGCCTTGCTAAAAACATTATTAAACCTAAATGGCCAAAATACCGTGGAAATAGAGCGGGTCGTGCAGTTCTGGAACGAAATCTACGACATCGAGCTCAAATTGAAGCTATTCACCGCCATGCGGTCAACCAAAACGTATCCGTACGGAATCATACACGGCGCCATAACATTGCTAACTGCATAAAAATCAACGTGGAACCACCTGCAAATAGGAGGAGATCTCCATCAACTTTTGTTCCGTCGTTATATCTATCAAATGTTATGTCCTTGGCCCCGAAGATCGATGAAATTCGACATTTTGCAAGCCAAGCCAATGTGGACCTTATTTGCATAACAGAGACGTGGCTTAAAAGCCATATTGACGACAATATAATCGACATTGGGGGTTATAGCGTGGTGCGGAGAGACAGAATTGGCATTGACCACGGTGGCATATGTACGTATATTAAAAATAACATCAATTTTTCCCTCCTAGATGATCTGCAAAACCCAAACTATGAAATTCTCTGGTTAAAGTTACGACCGGCGAGACTCCCAAGGGGATACAGCTCTATTGTTTTAGGAACTGTTTACCATCCGCCAAGTGCTAATGACCGGGATTTACTGCAATATCTTTATTCATGCCTCTCATCGATCGAATCTCGTTTCTTTAACTGCGGAATCTTGTTGGTTGGTGACTTTAACAGGTTGAATATTTCCAGGCTGAGAAACAACTACAACCTTAAGCAAATTGTGAATTTTCCAACACGAGGCTCCAGAACCCTGGACTTAGTGTTAACTAATCTAAAGCAATTTTACAAAGATCCTATCCAACGATCCCCTCATGGTTTATCTGACCACATGTCAGTCGAAATACAACCTAAGAATAGATTGCAGCTGCCAGACCAGCGCCGAACCATTAAATCAAGAGACCTTAGACCGAGCAATCGTCTCGCGTTGAGTTCGTATCTCGAGACTGTTGATGTTAATGCACATACTAATACGGTCAACTCCTGCGCGGAAAAAGTTGCAATTCTTGAATCAATTGTTCAAGTGGGGTTGGATTATGTATTACCCTTACGATCTAAAACGATATATCCCGGCGAACCACCTTGGGTCAGCTCGACCCTGAAAGATCTCATTCGACGTCGCCAGAGGGCTCTCATGCAAGGTAACCTTCCATTGTTCCGTCTTCTCAGAAATCGAGTGAACCGTGAACGCAAGACCTGTAGAGCGAAATATTATGACACTAAAGTGGCACATTTGAAAGATTGTAATCCATCCTCATGGTGGAGTGAAGTCAAGAAACTAAGTGGCCTATCTTCCATGTCCTCTAGCATAAGTGACCTTGCAAATCATCTTCAGTGTTCTGATGGGACCCCCGAAGACGAAGTTTTGGCGAAAACAATCAACGAAGCCTTTTTATCTCCAATGCGTATCTTTGAACCCTTGCCGAATGATTATGATCCCCAGCA